CCCTACTACTCTTTACCCTTCTACTATGACGCGATGTAGATGACGCAAAACAAAACTGTGTGTGCGGGCGATGGGAATGTCGACGGTATCGAATTTGGTTACTGTATACATTCTTGAGGTGTGATGAAATATGTGTTTTCCACCACCGAATGGTCTTCTCATCACGTCCGCGAGAGAAAAATGATCGTACTTCAAAATTCATACGATTAACTACAGAAAACCATACATGTTTATTGTTTTTTATTTCTTGAAAATTCCACCGTTGCAGCTCCACCAGCTGCTGAAGAGCGAGAGAGGGTGGGGCGGACAGAAAGAGTAAAAGAGAAGGAGAGAGAGTATCGCGCCGCTATTCCGATTTAACACAGCCTCTGGAAATGGCGCCGGAAGGTAGCTAGCAGGTCATATGGGGGTTGGGAGGGTGCGGAAGTCCATAGCCTAGTGGGCTCTTCATGTGTATTGTGTCGCCGGAGGCCACCCTCTACCCCCTCCTACCCTCTCGTTCAAACAATGAGCCTCAAATGTAAGGTTGGTGTGTGTGCGCGCGCACGAGCGTTGTGTTCCTGGTATCTACTCCAGCTGGAGCAATTACACGGCCTCATGAATGGCGCGGACAGCGGCGGCCGATACGCTGTTCTTTTCGGTTATTATTATCCTTCCCCCCAAAACAGGCTGTCCAGTCCAGACGAGGGCGCGCGTGGTGGGTGTTGCGGTCAGGCCATAGGCGGGCGGGCCTGTTGCTCGACACGAGAAAGGCCGACGCCATAAAGTTCAGCCGGAAGCGTGTGACTCGCGTTGTGTGTTTGATGAGAGAGAGAGAGAGAGAGAGAGAGAGAGAGAGAAGAAAGGAGAATGTATACCTACATGCCAACCACCACAATGAAATAACTTCGCCTCCTTGCAGCAAAACAGCCCCGCCTTTGTGTTGGGCCGACTAGGCCAACAACAGCCAGCCGCACGGCCCAAACAACAGACGCTCGCCTTCACGACCTCTCCCTCTCGTGTGTGTGCTTACAGAAGTTCACCTGGCCACTGGCGCGGGCGCTGGACGAGGATGAGGTGCTCAAGATCCACCTCATGTCGCACAGCCGCTTCCTGGGCAACCGCCTGCTCGGCTCGCTCGTCCTGGTGCTGCAGCAGGTGCTCGTGGACGGCCGCGTCGCCCTCACCGAGACGCTGGTGGACGCCAACTACCGCGAGCTGCCGGCCACGGTGGCGCTCGAGGTGTCGTACCAGGCGCCGGACGCGTCCCCGGCCTCGTGGGGCGGCTCCGCCTCGGACGCCTACCAGGAGCTGGAGGACGACCAGCAGATGCTCATCGACATCGAGCAGAACATCGCTAACCTGGAGCGGACCCTGAGCCAGCAGCAGCAGCAGCAGCAACAACAACAACAACAACAACAACAGCAGCCGCAGGCACCGGGCGTGGCCGGCAAGTCGCGCAGGTCGCTCAGGAGGGCCGACACGGCACCAGGCTCGGCCAACCCGTCGCCGCAGAAGTCGCCCGCGCCGGAGAAGAAGAGGTGAGTAAAGTAGTACGCTGCTGCAGCAGAGCCTCCTCCACCGCCGCAGAGTGACACGGCCGTGCCGAGGTAAGTGGCTCTCACCCCCCAACAGGTGATGTAACTGGCACTTGCCTCCAATTAGCCGGCCGACAGCCTGTGACGCCTCCGTTGTCCC